GGATCAAAAATTATTATTTTCAGTATACAAAGTCAAGTCCTAGAAATCTATTACACAGCAGAGTAAAGGGATGAGGGGAAAAAAATACATTAAAGTTTTCTTCAACATTCAGCCAGGCCCCAGCACTGTAAGACAAGCAAACACGGCTTTCATTGAACCACAAGATCTTTTTGCCTGTTAGAAATTTGAAACTATGAAGTATAGAAAGCATATTTCCTATTAATTTTGATGTTCTTCTGAAAGGGTATTTGCATGAGAATGGTTTCTAGGCCTATTTAGGGTAGATCTGAGGTTTTTAAAATTTTCCTTTTGTTCTGTGTGTGCTTACTACATGTTGATAACGTCTAGTTTTTAGAAGTTATCCTTTTATATGTGGTTTACACAATGTGCATGTAACTTTGCAAATGGTTTAATAAAATAGAATCTAGTTTAAGTTAATCATCAACTAATGAGGAGTCTAGTAAAGAAGCAGTAAAAATAGAAGTTCCTTTGGAAAGCTAAATAAAGGAGCAAAAAGAGAAAAAAAAGGAGCATAACTCTATATATACTTACATATTTGCATCAGAAATCCCTGCATTCAGAGTCTCTAATTTAAACTCTAAACAGATGCTGATTTTTAATAATGATCAGTTGTGGGAAACTGCCAAGAATAAAAAGTTATTCCCTGAGAGAAACTCTGTATACAGAGAATTCTCATATTATATCTTGCTGTTGTTTATTCTACAAATACATATTAATATTAGAATAGTGCTGTGTTTGCCAGCACTGGTGTTATTAATTATTACTGGAGTTCTCATCAGCATCACAGCTGCTCAACTGGTCCAGCAGGTGAGAAGAGATGAAGATGAACCTTTGCTCAGTGAGTCCAGCTCAGACACTCAGGGGTCAGTCCAGGAGGTCTGAGCACCCAACCAGGCCCAGCAGAGGAACTCACAAAGGATGGAGATAGAACACGGTGAAATGCCAAGAAAATAGCATGGAAGGGGAACGTAAGGGAAGTGAGAAGGAAGAGATTGTCACAACTGATTTAAACTACCATTGGCAAACCAGAGAGCTGGCTGCTCAGAAGGAAAAAAAAAATAAAAACAAAACAAACACACAAATAAAACCAAACCCTCAAATATTACAAACCAAAACAAATAAACAAAACAAAACAAAAAAACCCCAACAAAACAAAATCCACAAAATACCAAGAGAAAACAATTTGTGCATATTTAAAAGAAAGTAGCCTAAAGACTGAAAGTCAATCCCATTATGTCTGCCTGAAAATCCACTTCTAAATATATTTTCTCCTAGTGTTTATTGTGACTCAGACCTAATATACACAAAGTTTTGATTTAATTCCTGTTTATCAGATCATCTTGCTATTACAGCTCAAAAGGGCACTTGACTGATATTAGAGTACAGATCAGAGTACAAATGTTAGGTTTGGGTTCAACTTTCTTACCTTTTCCTTTCTTAAAAGTATACTGACAGAACGCTGCTCTAAAGGTTGATACTTTTATTTATTTGCTAGTCTAGTAATGCTGCTACATTGCTCCATTATCAACAACTTCAACACAGATGAAAGCACAGCTGAAAAGCGCTTTCATGTTTTTAAATTACTTAATAAGAACCTTATCTTTTTTTATGATTTGGGGAGGGGGAGAGTAAGGGAGGGAGGTTTTATTCAGCATCTTTCCTTTATTAAATAAGGTACACAAATTATAATTTCTACTTCTCAATAAGACTGCTTTCTAGGCAGGAGAAATTGAAGGCAGTTACCTCACCCTAATAAATATTTTAGAGTGGGATCATGTTTCTCTCAGGTCACCATTAAAACCAAAGTAAGTCTCGATTCAGGAGAACTGGAGGTTCCATATGCACTGGCTAGAAGAGGAAAGTTGCCTTGAGGCCTTTTCCCACACAAGCCATGCTATGTGTGATTCCATGTTAAGGAGTCTGTCACCTTGCCTCTACCCCAAACTTCCTTTGATTATGGAACCATACAAATATAAAAAAAATCAACAAACAGATTGCAGAATGCCACTCAGAAACCTTGCATGACAAAGGAAAACTAAGAATGTGCTCTCACTCTCGGTACATTACAAGAAAAAAGTTTCACTTAATGTCTATAATCTGAATCTATGTATCAAAACATTTCATTTCCAAAAGGTCACAGGTCCTGGAGAGAAATATTAAAACTGCAATTGCCAAAACTCAGTTGGATTTGGAAGGGATACATTAATTTTAATGGCACAGTTGAGGATGACTCAGGTTTGATGACAAGATGATCAAAGATCTCATCTTGGTGTTACTGGGAATACGAGCAGTGAGAGAAAGGCTGCTCAGCCCGAGCACCTGTAAGAGCAGCTGTGGCCTCTAAGGAGCAGCAGCCCATCAGTCACTGTGAACAGTTAAAACCTTCTTTTAAGTCTGACCAGCCTTCATCCCTCTCAGGAAAATACTAAAAGAACCCAGCAAGAACTATTTCAGACTTCTGAGCTCTGAATATAATTTTGTCATTAGCATTTCATGGACAAACCATGATGAACAAAACCAGAGTGAATGCAACCTCTTCTTAACAGATTTTTCCAAACCCAGTAATGTACAACAGGCAGCAGCTCAGAACAGCTGTGAGCAGTTCCAGTGCTATGGTGCAAAACCTAAATATTTTGAAGTAAGTCAAAAGTATTTAGCTTTTCGAATAGAAGAGACAAAATACTGAGGAAAATATCTGCAATTCCTTTAAAACTGTCAAGCTTTTTCTAATACAAGAACAAAAAAAACCTCTAAAGACTATTTATTTTAATCATGTTTATTTCCCACAGAATTTAATCCCATCGTAACGCCACCTCAAAGCTAGAATAAATTTAAATGTATAAATTCCTGTATGTTTGCAGCTGGAAACTGTATGCACGAGATGTAATGAACACAACTTCCTACTATATCAGCCACATTTTTTATCCATCTAATGTTAATATAGAAAGTGAGAACAGCTACCAAATCTTAATCTAGATCTCTCACATTATCTCAAATTTCATGTCAGTAAAACTGTACAATCAGAAAGATATCCAGCTTTCAAATGCAAAGAATCATCATACAAACTTATTTTCTGAAAAATTGCTTTCTAAACTTAACAAAAGCAGGAAAATAAGGAGTTGCTACTCATTATCTAACAAAAAAATTACTTTGGCTCTCTAAAATAAACACTATTTATTTAGACACAACAACACAGACTAGTAGGGAAAAATATAACAATAAGAAAAAAAAATCTGAATGTTTCAATTCAGTTACCAACAATTTGCATTCGCCTTCATAAAGAGGGCAGACAAGAACACATTAAGAGCAGGGGGAGGATGAACAGTTGTCAAATCAGTAATCAAGAGAAAAAGACCATTATGAAATGCTGAATAATGACCTGCAAACTAAAATGAGGCACTTGAGCTGAAGCATCAATCATCCTGATAGGGAAAAGTAATATTTAGATGACTCCTGTACAGTAAAGTAGAACAAACTGCAGTGAAAATGGCTCCAGCAGCTCAGACGTTCGAGGTGCACTTTGTTGCTTTATCTTAGGTAAACACCTCTAAGCAAAGACCCTCCAAGAACAGAGATTACCGCAGAAAACAGAGCTGGGTGTTTGACAGACCAAGCACAATGCAAACACTCCCACATGTCTGCAGACAAATGTGAGCGAAACAAGGGATTAGACAAGGGCTTAATTATCGACACTAATTATTGGTTTGATTTAAAGGTGAAGACAGACACTGACTGCTGTCAGAATGTTTTAAACAGGATGTGTGACATGGCATCAGATAAAAGAAATGACCTTACACTGAAGGATTTCCACAAGCGTGCTAACTTCCCATTCCCTGAGCCAGAACAGTTAGAAATGTGTACAGAGAACTATCACATGCTGTTAGAAAGCACATAAACCAGAAGAGTTTCTGCATTTAAATGATGGTACATTTAAATAATGTACCAGATCATTTCCCTTCCACTGAGAGGGGCCACAAAACCTATACATTTATGCATCAAGCCTGCCTGTACCTTAGTTGGTATGAACCATATCTGATTCTTCAACTGAACCAAGGCTTTTAATTCAAATGCCATATCTAATTGTTGATTGAATTCCAATTTAACCTGGTTATTTGGACAAGTAAACCAGAGATTAAACATAGTTCCTATGAAGCAATGTTCATTAACTGTTTCAGCACAGAGGCTTACAAGTTCTTGAGACAAGCAAATACCAAATGACAATAAAGCTATGTGTGTACAGTGCACATTTACAGGTTTTTCAAGTAAAAACATTTACATTTTTAATTCATTAATCCATTGAACATAGCAAGGACCATTTTATAAAATAAAATACCTTACAAGTTCATACAGGCAGGTTATTTCAAATATTAGTTGTAGCCTGGAATGCTCAATTACAGCCAATTGCAAAAGGAATTACATGGGTTTCCTCCTTTCCGTTTTTATGAGGTCAAGGGTGAGCAGTGACAAAATGAAATCAGAGGAACCAGCACTCTCATTCCCACAGTTCAGCTACACAGCAGTCAAGAACAGGAAAGGAATTCCAAGGCACCTGATGAATAATTAATGTATGTTGGCCATACAGGTTTTTACCATAACAGTGTCTTTTCAGTACAGATTCTGCATTGAAGAGAAACACACTGAGGTGAAAATGCCATTATCATTTCCAGAATTAACCTAGGAAACAGGATACCAAGCTAGCACCTTGGCTAGCCCCAAGATCTGTGCAAAAGACATCCCCTGGTTAAGGGTCATGGCATTTGTGTCTATCAGATGTTTTGATCAGTGAATCTTGGTTTGCCTCATTTACAAATTTCAAAAGTACCAGAACTCTGAGAAAAGAAAGACCTTTCTAATTTAGCACAAAGCAGTGGAAATAATGGTAAGATAATATCCATTCTCCTAGAGCTCTTTCATTAAAACTCCTCGTGGCACTGAGATGCTTTAACCGTAAAAGAAACCAGTTCCGACTTTACACATACCTTGTCTGGGAAACTCATCCGACTCCCTGTGCACCAGGTCAGACACTCTGTTTCCATAGTGCATCCTGGTGTCGTGGTCATACGCTTTCAGGGTCTCACTGGAGCTGTAGGACTTCTGGGTGGGCACTCTGCAGTCCTCGCTGTCCAGCGAGGAGCTCGTGTAGCGGCACTGCTTCCCACAGCGGCCCCGGGTCAGCGAGCGGTGCCTCCTGTCCTTTATGTCCATTCTTCTGAGCCACGCACGGCGCTGCCACAAGAGCCACTCTCCTATTTGGAGCCAGTCGCTGCCACCTAACAGCATGAAAGGATGACAAAAGAGTAAGTAATGCTGCCACTACATTTTGTTTTATATTCTACCTTCCCTGACTTGTCCTTGAAGAACAATGCAGCACTGATCAAGAAGAAAGGGAAGGCCCACATGACACATCCTCTAGAAATTGAAATAATTGACCTGAATGGGTGGGGAGAAAAAAATTAAATGCTGTAAGATTATTGAGTTCTATCTAAATTATTGTATCATCAAAGAATTGAAAAAATAATGATAAAACAAAAGCACTGTCATCTTTTGATTTTTTAATGAACCCTGGTAACAACACAGAACTGACAGAACAATATTTGTTCCTGTTATGCAACAGAAGAAAAGTAGACTCAAACCAGCTTTAATTATTTCCATTCTTCCTGCAGGAGGGCGCTTGCAATTAAGACTGAAGCATGCAGGAGAGTTCCAAAGAGGAGATTATTCCTATTCAGCGTTAATGCATTACAGAGCTGTACATTATCCTCTAACAACGTGCCCACAAGCAGCAGCAACTGATTTTATTGCCCCTGGTTAACAACAATCCAAGGCCCTGCTCTGAAGGTGGACAAGGTCTCTCCAGAGGTCTGCCCCAACCCTGACATTCCTACATGGCTGTTGAGTGTCTGAGCACACTTTGGGGATTGGCTGCTCTCATGCACCCCGGAATGTGACTGGATGAGCTCCTTAAGATGACCAGTTTATCCAACTCAGCACTTGGAGCTCTTGAAAACTGTCTAAATCTCTTCTTGTTCAATAGACCATGGAGTTTCTTACAGTCTGCTTAATTAGAACACCCTTACTGTGGCATATAGACTTTAATATATGCATTGTTAGCATACAAAAACTACAAAATGAAAGCTAGTGTAGCAAGGAAGAAATATAGTAAAAGCACAAACATCCTACCCACTGGGGTACTAATTATTTTCAGTTGTATTAGTATGTATGTCTTTCTCTCATGGCACAGTATGCCCAGGTCTGTGCTAGTCCTGAGAAACCCTCATGACAATTTTTTTTTTGCTGGAAATTAAATCTTCCCAAATAAAAAAAATACTCGAAAGTGCTAATAAGCAAAAGTTGGAACAAAACATCTTGCTTCTTTCTACATGGATATGGAGGTGATGGAATGGTTTGGGTGAATTTAGCTGGGACAGTTGAAGAACTTTTCTTTGCCCCTGTCCTCTCTCAGTCCAGGCTCCCTCTGCCAAGCCCACCCAGCAGAATGTGCCCAGGCCAGAAGCTTTGCTTAAGCCACCAAAGCATTTCAGCAGGGATTCCTTGTGCCACCTCTGCCACCAAAGGAAAAAAACTGCAGCAGAAGATGATAAAACATGCAGAAGGCAGCCAAGCCTTTCTTTGTGGTAGTTGTTTGCACCTGCAGGAGAAGAGGTCACAGCACTGGCACAAATATTGGCTAAATCATTGCTTTTTGAAACAGATTATGGTCCTAAGAGAGAATAAATGTACTTGGCCAGAAGAGCTGGTGACCTAGAGAAAAGGTTTCTTGCCTTCATTTAGATTTGACATTTAGCCTTGTTGTGGTTTTTGGTTTTTTGGTTTTTTCCTTTCTGTATTTTAAAGAAGAAAGGTAGGTAACCACAAGAAACAGCTGCTTTAAGCCACCCACAGGTGTTCTGCAATCTGTGAGGAATAAGAACTGTAAACATGCTTACTTTTTTCTTCTTTTTCATTTATTTTTAACATTTCAGAGGGGAAAAAAAGTCACAAAACAACATATACAGAAAAACCAAAACAAAAGCAAAGACATTTGGCACTTGAAACTGTCAAGGTTCATTGTATAACTTCAGATTAAAGAGAAAGAAAGATTCAATCCACATTCTTGTTTCTCAGCTCTCTGAACATATAGCAGCTAAGCTGAGTCCTCCAAGTCTGAATTTTTAAGTTCAATTCTTTGGTCCTGTAATATTGATTAAACTGGAAAGCACGTTAACTGAAAAGCATATTAACACTGGTGGCACAAACAGTTTCTTGAAGTTTCAGGAAATATACGATCATTTAGATTAACACTGCCTGGCTCTTTGATCCCATTTTAATACTCTCTCATCAAATTCAGATATCAACATATCACAATTATAAACACAGAAACAGACACAGACACTACAGCATTGAGCAAAACCTGCCAATTACTCTCTGGGAGTCCTCTTGCTGCTATTCAACACAAAAGCCTGTCATTCCATATGAATTCTATATTGTCTGTCAGTTTAGATAAATAAACAGCTTTTTGTTTTTATGATTGCTAAACTTAAAACTGTTTGGCCTAATTTCTACTGTTTTTGAAAGAACATTTAATTCCTTGTTACTGTAGTTAAAAGAAGGATTTACTGTGACTGAGATAAAACTTCTGAGTATTTCCAGGACATTAGCTTATTAAAGCATCTTCTCGGGCACACAAGAGTTTTTGAAATTGTTCCTTCAATAACCATTCTTTTATAGAGTTTTGTGCAATTCCCCTAAAAATACAAAAATAAAAAAACCGGAAATGGTAAGACACTGTTTCATTGCTGATCGTGCCTGGAAATATTCCTCAGTCATCTGCACATGCAGAACATGAGGCACAATGTCTGTGCTACAGTAACTACAACTGCTAACACAAGAAAATTATTGTAGAAATGTTCCAAGATCTTTACTTTGATCTTTCATAAGGAAAATCTTGTTAGAAAAATCAGACATCAGAATAATTTGGTGAATAACTTGATTTTTATGATATCAGACTATTAAAATTTTCTTGAACTTTATTAATTTTAGTAGGTCCTTCAAATTCTATAGATAAAATGATAACATTTTAACTGGATTTTTTGTTCAATGTCATTTTCATATTTATTAGATTAGTTTAAATTTTTGTTTTCCTTATTTTTCCATTACTTGAGGACAAATCCCAAGCGTCTGAGACTAAATACATCTACCTGAACACAACAAAATATTCTCAGAGATACTTCTCTGCTCCTCACCCGTGCTTTGGGGATTTCTTTGAACATAAAGCAGCCAGGCAAAAACCAACTGCAGAGCACCTTGCTCAAACAATTCCCAAAATTTAGACAACAGTGTCACCATACATGGCTTAAAACACAGTGAATTAAGTTGTGAAACACTCCTAGAAAATCTGCTTTACTTTTTTTTTCATGCTTATGTTAAACAGATGAAATATTGATTCAATTCAGTGCTAAACACCTTTCCAGTTAGACAGTGAAATCTTTATGTACTGTATTTCTGGAAAGGTAAGGCGTGATAGCTTTGCTCAGAGAATAATGGTGAGATGCAATTTGAGTTCAGAACTCTTGACTTGCCTGTCTCAAGGGCACTCTGTGAATGGTTTATTTTGAGTAATTGACCTAAATTGTAACAGATTTAATAATTTCTTTTGTTTCAAAGGATTTAACTAATACTGCTCATTCTGACCCACTTACACTGCAGAGCAGTACAACCACTAACAACTGACTTCAACTGTTTTTCTCATCTAGTTTTGGTTTAATTATTTCAGAAACACAGGAGCTCTGTCTAACTTTCTAAGAAAGGTGTTTATTCAGAAAATATTTATTATTTATAATGGCCTGCTAAAGGGCTGGTCAAGTTTTACAGAAATGGAGTCTCAGCTGATCTGGACCTACCAAAGCAGTCAATCTAAGGCAATAAACAGCTCAGGCTGTATTTGCTGTTGATGTGCACAGATCCCATGTGCCCCAATAATACACTTCTGACTCACTACTCACCCAATATAAGACTTATTGTGGTTCTATAAAGTAACTGTGTACCTGAGCATGACTTTGGCAGTGGTAATGAGAGCCTTAGTGTAACTGTGGGCAGTGCAAGGGCATTAAAACACTGCACATCCTACGAGGACAACAGAGGCAAGGGGGAAAAAAGAAGAGAGGATAAGAGAAGAAAAAGCTGAGGAGAAGAGAAATGAAAAATTTTGTTTAGGGGGTTTAAAAAAATTGACCACTTCATTTTGTGTTAGCACAGCCAAATCAATAGGAGGTATAGAGGGAGGGCTTAAAATGAATTTTAATGGCTTAAGGAAGCTTATGCTAAAACTCTCTGTAAATTTAAAGTTGATTGATATATTTTTCTAACTCAAGGCATGGGTTTGTTTGCTGCATTTTGTAATGATCCTGACGTGATTACAGTGTACAGGGCCATTAGAACGGCCTCTCACACCACACAGAGCCCAGGAATCACTTGGAAGTTCAGGGGAAACAAAGAAGTTTATATTTATATTGTGCCCTCAAATCACCCGACACAACTAAATCAAAACATTACAATAGTGCAGACAGTGTTGGAAATAGCCCCTTTTTCTACCCCCTCTTTTTTTTTTTTTTTTTCTTTTTAAATGTAAAAGTAGCACACCACGTACCAATCGGTTCATTAAAAAAAAAAAAGTAAGGTCTCTTAAAAGCCTGGACTCCTTTTCAGGAACAGCAATTGGAAATAAGCTTGTGATTCAGAGATTCAAATGCTGTTCATTATTTTATGCAAAGATTATTTTTGAAATGAGAAAATGCAACAATTCAGCTCTGGTGTCGTACAAATTTTCAGGCAAAAAAGTTAAAATGGTTATTTAACTGTTGTATTTATTTCTGATTTTAATATTAATGAAAAAGAACATTTCTACTTCTGGCTCCCTCCATCTATTAAAAAAAAAGGCAATAAATAAAATGAAATTTTAAATACTGTAGCTAAGTTCAGCACAGAATATGCACTTTGTTAGATGAAGCAATATTGATGGCATGTATGCTGGTTTTGATTTGCACCAAAAATCAAAGTACATTTGGACTTTGGAGTCTGTTTGGTATAGCCTCATTTTTCGTTGATAAATGGCTCTTCTGGATTTTTAATTTTTTTTTCTGTCCAAATACTGAATTTTTGTTTTAGTGAGCCACTCTATATTAAGTTGAAAATTAGATATATTTAGTATGACATGGTAAACAGCTATGTCAGAACAGTTGTGATGAATG